GAAAAATGTTGTAATTCCACGGGTAATAGCAGTTCCCAAAGTTGTTGGTTTTTTACCATTGGTACCTAATTTAACAGCCCTTAGCGCTGTGGTAGTTTAGCGTCAGGTAGCGCTGCAATTGTAAAATCAATTAACAATGCAAAGATGGCAAAGGCACAACTTGAGGAAAACCAGAGACATAACAGAAAAATGGAATCTGTATCGTTGGGTAAAGGCTTGTACCTACAACCATACAAGAAAGGCTATGGTATATCATTTTCAAAAAATAATAAATAATGCAATCAAAAAAAACTATTAAATGAACTACCCAAGAGAGCACTTTCCAATTTTGATATATTGAAGTTTGCCTTTAAAAATATTCCACATTTTCGGGGGGTTTATATGAGATGAGATACCCAAAGTACCACATTATTCCGAGTGTGGAATAATAAATTTAGCAGACTCATCAGAAGGAACGCATTGGGTGGCGTATTATAAGAAAGGATCAGACTCGTACTACTTTGACAGTTTTGGTAACTTGCAGCCGCCTTTAGAAATAATTAGATATTTAGGGGAAAAAATAAGATATAATTATCAGCGATTCCAAAAATTTGATACTTTTAACTGTGGGCATTTATGCCTTAAATTTTTGCTAGACTGTAATTCTTCCCATACCCTTCGTAACCACTTCACATGAAGTGGACACTTTGACCTTTTACAAAGCTAGACGTTCTATCCCTTGAGACCGAATACCATAGTACAAGCGACCAGCAAGCGTGACGAGCAGCCACCAGCATCAGCAGAAACTCCAGCATCAGCAGAAATACTCTAGCATCATGAACCACTTCACCACCACCTCCAGCTCTACCAGCTCCACCAGCTCCACCAGCTCCACCGACTCCAACACCGCATCCAGCTCCAACTCATCCGCCTCATCCAGCTCCAACTTAACCGCCTCCAACCTTCCCCCTGGGGTCACGCAGGAGGACATCGATGCCCTTTTGAGGGATATGAGGAAGACCCTCTGATGCAGGCCTTCAACGCCTGCAGGGTAAAAAGGAAACCTGATAAACAAATCAGGTCTGATTATCAGGTCCGTTTATCAGATTAGGAATATATGATCATGATTAATTAATTATTTCTCAGTGCATACCGAACTCCGAGACAGAAATAACCAGTATTGTTCTTTCGATTGAAACATTCTAAAATTTCATCACAATGAACCAAAATATTTTATCACAATTGAATAAAACTCGAAATGCTTTAAAAAAAATTTTTAGAGCTAAAACAATTTAAAAGTCAGAATACTATGGGTTTGGAGGAAACATTAGTAGCAGGCCAATTATGATATTTAAGGTTTGGTCACACTATTTGATGAGCTACGCTCTCTGAGAGAGCAGGTTACTCTCTCTCTCAGAGAGCGCCGCTACTGGTTTTCGGGGTTGAAGAGAGCTGCCTACGTGCAGCATGATCACTGTCATTCGAGCGAACAAAAAGTAAATACGTGTATAAAGACGTGTGTGTAAAAGAAAAGAATAAAGAAATAATTAATAAAACATCCTGTCACAAACTTCAGAAGTGGGATTTGGGAAAAAATTTTCCCAGCAAACCAAAAACGTCAGTGCGATAAGAATAAATCGACAAATTTTGCGGCCAGAAGTGGAAGAGTTGCGTGGTTCGGACGTGAAAAGCGGCAAGGAGATGCAGAGCGAAGTTCAAACTCTGGAAAATTTGCGTGTCGAAATTGCAAAGGCACAGGAGAAGCGTGAAAATTTGAATCGCCAGATCGGCAACGAAGACACGGAGAATGAAGGAGGCGAAAATGCGCAACTGAGGAACAGAGACGGCAACAGCAGCTCCGAGAATTTGGAGCAGAGCGTTAGAAGCTTGGAGAACACACAGCGTGGCGATGACAGGGACGGCGAGATAGGCGGCGGTAGAAGCAGCGGCAGAAGCAGCGGCAGTGGCGATGACAGAGACGGCGAGATAGGCGGAGGTAGAAGAGGCGGCAGCGGCGAAGACAGAGATGGCGATATAGGCGGCGGCAGCGGCGAAGGCAGAGATGGAGATAGAAACGGCGACGGCATGCTGTTGCAGGGCGGTTTGCGAAGCCTGTTAATGAGTTGCTGGAACAACTCAAGTTGGCGTTTGGAGGCATCGAGTCCAAGTCTGCACTACGGCGCAAGTTCAAAGCACGTAGTTGGTCTCCAAATGAGCAGTTTGCCACATACTTTGGCGAGAAATGCAGATTGGCTCGAGATGTCGAAATGGACGAGGAGGAACTACTGGATGGGCTCGTGGAGGGCATTCCAGTACTAAGCTTGCGTACACAGGCCAAGCTCCAATGTTTTGATGGCCCGGAGAGGATGCTGAGGGCGTTTGCAGACACTAGGCTCCGAGCAAGGGGGCCAACCATGGCGAAATTGGCGGCAGCGAAGGCGGTTCCAACGAGCAGCGAGACTCGTTGCTTCAATTGCAACGCGAAGGGGCACTGGAAGAGGGAGTGTACTAAGCCAAAAAGGTCGCCAGGCTCGTGCTACGGATGCGGCGCAGAGGATCACCTGATTGCGGAATGTCCCGGATATAAGAAGAAGGCAGAAAATAATTATGTAAGATTGTTGAAAATTTTTTGCGTTGAAAATCCTAGCCAGCCGATTATTACAGAGTGCCAAACAGATTCGGGAAGCCCAGTTTCATTTGTTAAGCTTTCATATGTACCAGCAAGAATTAAATTAGAACCTCAAAAAGAGAGTTTTTTTGGAATTAACAGAAGCTTATTGAAAAGTTACGGAAAAATATTATGCTTTATATTAAAGAAAGAGATAAAGATTTGCTTTAAATTAATTGTAGTGTCTGATTTATCTATGGTGTGTAATGTTGTGCTGGGTAGAGATTTCATGGATGCTTGCGGTTTAAAGATTGATTTAGAAACATTAAAAATTGTTACTGTAGAGTGTGTTGAAACCGATGTCGAGAAAAAAGCGGAAAAGTTTTCCAATAATTGTATGGAAATTAGTAAAACTGAAAATATTTCGGAGAGGAAATTCGGAAATGGAAAAAGAAAATTAGGCGACATAAATTTAGGTATAAGATTAAGAGATAGTTATTTGGATGAAAAGAGTTTAGGTACAACTTTAGGTGAAAAGAGTTTAGGTACAACTTTAGGTGAAAAGAGTTTAGGTACAACTTTGCATGGAAAGAATTTAGGTACATCATTAGGGGGAAAGAGTTTAGGTACAACATTAATTGGAAACAGTTTAGGTACAAGCTTAGGTAAACAAAGTTTAGGTACAATTTGGAATGAGAATTTTGAAGGTACAGTTTTGAATAAAGATTCATTGTGGAATGAAAATGAGGAAGATGTTAGGATAGGTGTAACAAAAAATTTAGATGAGCAACTTTTAGGTACAAAAAAGTTAGATGAACCAATGGGAGTGTTGGAGGAAAATTTTGAAAAGGAAATGATGCAAATAAATATGTTAGAGCATGAGAATGAAGAAAGGGTTTATGATATTGGATAACAGGTTAGTTATACAGACAAAATGAAATTAATTAAAGTATTAGAGTCGAATTATATACATGTTCCGAGACCTGAATTGCCGAAAAGTAGATGTGAAATTAATATAATTCTGGAGAACTCAAAACCATTTAGTTGTGTACCTAGGAGGCTGTCGTATAGTGAAAAGGAAGCGTTACAGAAACTGTTGGATGAATACTTAGAAAATGGAATTATTCAGAGTAGTAGGTCTGAATATGCTTCTCCAATAGTATTAATGAAGAAAACGAGTGGCGAGCTTAGACTATGCATCGATTTCAGAAGGCTAAATAAAATTATGGTCAAAGATAATTATCCAATTCCTTCAATTGATTACTTTTTGGATAAATTGGGTGCAAAATCGGTATTTACAAAATTGGATTTAAAGAATGGGTACTTTCATGTGTTCGTGAACAAAGATTCGGTGACGTATACATCTTTTACAACGCCATTAGGACAGTTTGAGTTTTTACGTATGCCAATGGGTTTGAAAACAGCGCCTCAGGTATTTCAAAGATTTGTGAATGATATTTTTTCTGATATGATTCTAGAAAATAAGGTTATAATATACATGGATGATATTTTAATTGCAAGTTACGATATCAAAGAACATTTAGAAATATTAGTAGAAGTATACTTCTAAATATATATTTAGGAGATTAGTGGAGAATAAATTAGAACTGAGAATGGATAAATGCAAGTTTTTACAAGATAAGGTAAAATATATAGGTTTCTCAATTTCAAAGGAAGGAATATAAGCTGATGAGAAGGTATTGGAGATTAGTGGAGAATAAATTAGAGCTAAGAATGGATAAATGCAAGTTTCTACAAGATAAGGTAAAATATTTAGGTTTCTTAATTTCAAAGGAAGGAATAAAAGCTGATGAGAAGGGATTGGAAGCAATAAATAATTTTCCAATTCTGAGTAAAGTGCAAGCTGTTTAAAGTTTTTTAGGTTTGTGTTCTTATTTTCGACGATTTATAAAGGAATTTTCGATATTGGCAAAACCTCTATATGTTGGGGTGGTATGGGTGTACCAATCCAAGGCAAAGTCAACAGGGCAACTGTTGATGAATATTCCTTGGCTCTAATGGTACACCATGTCGACTCGTAGGTGAATATCGGTTTGATAGACACCACCTTCTCCTGGGAGAAGGTCCTCCGCGTGGTACCTCCTGGAAACGTACTGCAGTACGGCCAATGCGAGCGGCACCTCCAGTGAATCGCTCACCTAATAATCCTCTGCCTCCCAATCCCTACCGAGACATGGGCAAGTCTTAAAACTACCTCCCCTCAAGTCAGGCGTGTAAAGCGACCCGTGCCCACTGACTATAAGGTTCGCAGCTGAGGGGTTAAACCAGCTGTGTTCGAACGGATCCTTCCCAGGGCCGGGCAACCCTGGGTCGGAACGAGCCTTGCCGTGGCTTAGGGGCGAAGCCACGGTCGACCTTCCTTCAATGCCGAGCAACGCGGGCGTTTATGAAAATGAGCACAACAAAAAAATCCGCTTTGGACCTCGTGGGGGAGGTAAAACCCCATCACAAATCGACGGAAAGCGAATTGGACGAGGAGGAGCTACTGCGCTCAGACGACGGGACGCTAGCTCCGTCCAATACAGAGGGAGGTGTAAAGACAAGCACACCTCAAACGACACAACCAAAGCACAGTAAAGCGGCGGCAAGCCAAGCCAAAGCGACCGGCGAACACGGGAAGACAAAACCGTGGACCCACCAACAACGAAAGGCGCAGGCAAGCAAGGCCCATTTCATCCTCGCCAAAATAGTGAGGAATGAAAAGGAGGGCAAAGCCGACCCGCGCGACGCTGCAGACAAAGCCAGATTTCTAGCAGTGATCGAGGAATACGAGCGCTACGAGAAGGAGCACCCAGACACGTCTTTGCCTCCTCAAGCAAAGCGCAACCGCTCACAAGAGGTGAGCGAGAGAGAGCCAAAGACGCGAAGGGCGCCCCGAGACCGACCACCTTTGTCAAGACGGCGAAAAAATTCAGCGAGGTGGCCCGAGATAGCCTCGCAATGGCACTTGTTGATGAGCTCAACGACGATGGGCGCCTTCTGATGGAGAAATGGGAGGAGGTCGAGACCCAGTTGGCAGAGATGGTGACCGACAAACTACTGTCCGAGCCAACGGGCCAGTCACCCTCCTTTGACGCCTCGGACATGGTTAGGGGGCACCGGGTGATCAGGTGCGACGATGAGTTCTCGCGGGACTTCCTGGCGGATTGCGTTGCCAGACTAGGCAAGGCATGGAAGGGGATTAGCATTAAGCTGGTCCCCGCCAGGGACATCCCAAGGAGACCCAGAGCTCGCATCTGGTTACCCAAGGGGCTGTCTAGCCATGAAAGGGTGCTCAAGACTCTGCGAGCGAAGAACAAGGGAGTCGATATGGAGGACTTGGCCATTCTCAAAGCTGAAAAGGAAATGAAGTCCAGCCAGCCATACCTGTTCTTGATCAACCAGCGCTGCCTAGAACAGCTGAAGGCAGCAGAGAACAAAGTCCGGTACGGCATCAGGAAAGCCAAGGTGAAGGTCTTCCTAGACGAACCGGACGATATTCGGGAAGACGAAGTCGAAGACGCCAATAAGCTGCTGGACGATTTGGCGATCGACGACAGCACCGCCAAAACCACCCCGATCTAATGCCGACGGTCGTTCAGATAAACCTGAAGCGCAGCTCCCACGCTTCAGCTAATCTGGGGGTCCTTCTCCGGGAGAGGGACATCGAGATCGGCCTTATACAAGAGCCATGGACGAGGGACGGACAAATCTCTGGCATGGCCATAAAGGGATACACAACATTGTACACAAACTCGACAGGTAGGCCGAGGGCGGGTATAATCATTAAAAACAACCTTAATGCTCTTCTCTACTTCAATCTCAGCAACTTAGATCTAGCAGTGGCAAGATTCAAGGCGGCGGATGGGACAGCCATACTAATAGCCTCCGGTTACATGGCCCACGACGAACCTGCACCACCTGAAGCGGTTAATAGGGTGATGCAGTGGGCCGAGGAGACTAAGACGACGCTCATCCTCGGGTGCGATGCCAACGCAAGGCACACACTGTGTGGAAGTAAGGAGACAAACGAAAGGGGTGAGTCTCTCTTCGATAGTATTATATGTCGTGACGTCAATATTTGTAACAAGGGAAACACGCCCACCTTCATCTTACCAAGTACGGAAGGATTTCAGAGCTGGGAAGAAGTCCTAGATATAACCCTAAAAACTTTAATACTTGTAGAGTTAGCTCGTAGAGTAACACCGTAGTCTAATGTTGCATGCGTTCTTATTTATTTATCGTAGTTATTATTTAGTTACATTATATTATTTTTTTTATATTTACTTTGCATGTGTTTTTATTTATTTATCGTAGTTATTATTTAGTTACATTATTTTATATTTTTTATATTTATTTTGCATGCGTTTTTACTTAATTAGTACTATTTTTATTATATTATATTTTTATTATATTACATTTTTATTATATTATATATTTTTGTTCCCCTTATTAATTTTTGTTCTCTTGTAACGTTTCCTCGTTCTTATCTTCCTTAATTCACCGCGTCTATCTAGTTCGCGATTCGTGCCGTACGTCACTGGAGAGTCTCTACACAAGACTCGTTTTCAGACCATAGGTAGATATTCTTCGAAATCGTGATGCCGATATGTGAAACGGCGCCGAAGCGAAACCCTCGCAACACTGACTGGGAAAAATACGGAAAGATTGTACAGTCATAGGTCAAGGACAGAAGGATCAAGACTCGATCCACCCCGGAGAGAATAGATAAAGAAGTAGAGGACTTCACAAATATTCTGAACAACGCCTACAAAGAGTCATGCAGACTAACATACTCCAAGAAGACATACCCACCATGGTGGAACAAAGAGCTATGCGAGCTCAGAAAGGAAGTTCGAAAAGCCTTCAACACTAGTTACGGAACCAAAGACTGGCAGCCGTACAAAGCAATACACAAAGAATACAAAAAGGCAATCTACGTAGCCAAGAAGGAATCTTGGAGCAGCTACTGTGAATCGCTTGAAGGAGTCAAAGACACGGCGAGGCTAAGTAAAATCCTATCGAGAGGACACACAAGCCCCACGCTCATAAATAAACCCGATGGGACAGGAAGTACGTCGGCTGAAGAGTCACTGGAAATCCTGCTGAATACGCACTTCCCAGGAAACCAAATAGAAGAACCTAGAACAATGGAAAGCCAGGGGGCAGACCAGCAGTTACAAATAGAAGAGATCACCACCATGGAAAGAATCCATTGGGCGATAGATTCCTTCGACAAATACAAAAGCCCGGGTCCGGACGGAATCATACCAGCAATGCTACAAACAACAAAAGCAAGCACGGGAAAATGGCTGCAAGCAATCTTCCAGGCATGCATTAAAACAGCACACATACCAATTCCATGGAAGGAAGCGAGGGTAGTCTTCATACCAAAACCAGGAAGAAGGGGACACATCCAAGCCAAGGATTATAGGCCGATAAGCCTTACCTCTTTTCTAATGAAAACACTGGAACGGATCATCGATATCCACATCAGAGAAAGAACGGAGAAAAACCTTTCCACTGCGCAACATGCGTACAGGAAAGGCCGATCCACGGAAACAGCATTACACGAGGTAGTGCGATACATAGAAAAGGCTCTACTTTTCAAAAACTACGCCATGGCCACCTTTCTGGACATAGAAGGAGCCTTTAATAACGTCAATGCGGATTCCATCCTGAGTTCCCTCAACGGTATAGGAGTCTCTACTCCTAAGTAGTACTACTAGTACTAAGAACACTAAATAGCGAAGGAGTAAAAGTGGTAGCATACGCAGACGACGTAGTCCTACTCACTTCAGGACCATTCCCCGACGTCATCAGCGAACTAATGACAAGGGCACTTACTAAACTCAATGCATGGGCAAAAGCCTGCGGATTGGGCATAAATCCAAGTAAAACGGAACTAATGCTCTTCACTAGAAGAACTAAGGTCCCTAGCTTCACAAAGCCAAAGATAGATGGCATAGAACTGGAGATATCACAGCAGGCAAAGTATCTGGGAGTGATACTGGATGCGAAACTGTCATGGAAACAAAACATCAACGAGAGAGTCAAGAAAGCAAGCATAGCATTCTATTTCTGCAGGAAGATGTTCGGAAAGAACTGGGGCATCCACCCCAGGATAATAATATGGCTTTACACAGCGGTGGTAAGACCCATACTCACATACGGAGCACTAGTATGGTGGCCAGCATTAACTAGGGCTTACAACGTACAGAAACTAACAAGGATACAGAGATCGGCATGCGCAGGAGCCAGAGGAGCACTGAGATCATGCCCCGCGGCGGCGCTGAACGCCATCCTAAACATAATAACGATAGAGCATTTCATCAGGAACAATGCAGCACAAGGTGCGGTACGACTTAAGGCTAGCCAAAGCTGGAAAGACTACCACACTGGGCACTGCAGGATTCTGAACGAGATAAACTATCGGACGACAGTAGACACAGACTACATGACAACCGAACTGCGATTCGGTAACACATACACCACTATATACCCTACAAGGGAAGACTGGAAGAGAGGGAGAGTAACCGAAGCGGACGAAGTATCACTCTACACCGACGGCTCAAAGATGAGCGGCGGAGTAGGCGCCGGAATCTACGCCGAGAGCTGGAAGGTGGAGGAATACTTCCACCTCCCAGAGTCAGCGACGGTTTTCCAGGCGGAGGTTCTCGCGATACTGAAAGCTGCCGAACTTTCGCTAGACCGAGGCCTCCGGAATACCAAGGTGAGGATATACTCAGACAGCCAGGCGGCGATCAAATCCCTCGCACAAGCACGGACGAATTCAAAACTAGTGGCCAAATGTAAAAGGGCACTAAACAGACTAGCAGAAGACAACAGGGTACAACTAGCCTGGGTACCCGGACACAATGACATAGACGGAAACGAGAAAGCAGACGAGCTGGCCAGAAAAGGGTCAGAAGAACACTCAGCAACAACAGACATACAGATCTCCCTGAACTCAGTCCAGACGGAAATTCATGACCATTTCAAACAACTAGCCAGCAAGGAATGGTCGACGAAGGCAGAGCACAGAAGATCGAAATTATGCTGGCCAGAATTTAATAGGAAGAGAACCGCAGAACTGATCTCCAAGAGCAAAAAGGACATCAGGAGGATAGCGGCAACCATCACCGGCCACTGGCCAATAGGCACGCAAGCCTGCAAGATGGGTCTACCCTACAACCCACAATGCAGAACCTGCAAGGAACCAAGCGAGCAGGAGACACCAGAGCATCTGCTGTGCCACTGCCCGGCACTCAACAAACAAAGAGCCCGACACTTCGGAGCACACCAACTCGAGTCAGTAGGGGAAATTGGAAGGCAGCCAGTAGCGGCCATCCTAGCTTACCTGAATGACACGGGCTGGTACTGAGTAGGGCGCAGACAACAACAAATCGAGGGTGTGGATCAAAACGGAGCTCAGCTCTAATTGGAGGCGGCCAGGGCTGCCTCACCACTTTTACCTACCTACCATATGTCTTGTTAAGAAAAGATAAGACGTTTGAGTTTGGGAAAGAAGAGTTGGATTGTTTTACACTTTTGAAGGATAAATTAGTAGCAGCTCCAATGCTGGCTTTATATGATCATAGGGATGATGTTGAGCTTCATTGCGATGCGAGTGCGTTAGGTTTTGGAGCTGTACTGCTTCAGAGGAAGGAAGATAAGAAACTGCATCCAATATTTTATTTTTCGAAAAGATCCACACCAACTGAGGCGAAATATCATAGCTTTGAGTTAGAGACGTTAGCTATTATTTATGCACTTAGAAGGTTCAGGATATATTTACAGGGTAAACCTTTCAAAATCGTTACAGACTGTAACTCGTTAACATTAACTCTGAATAAGATAGACCTAAACCCAAGAATTGCGAGGTGGGCTTTAGAGCTACAGGAATTTGATTATGAATTGAAGCACAGAGCAGGTAGGCAAATACAGCATGTTGATGCACTTAGCAGATGTAATAATGTTATGATAATAGACGCAAATACTTTTGAGGATAACTTAATAATTTGTCAGGCAATAGATACGAAGCTAAAAGAAATTAGGGAAATTTTAGAGAACAGATAACATAAATGGTTTGAGATGAGGAATGGGGTTATATATAAAAAGAATAATAACAATAGATTACTGTTTTATGTACCAAGTATAATGGAGCAACATGTTTTGTACAAGTATCATGACGAATTAGGGCATATTGGACGGGATAAGATGTTAGACGCTATTAGTAAAAGTTATTGGTTCCCGAGCATGAAAGACAAGGTTTGTGAACACATTCAAAACTGTTTGAAGTGTATAGCGTTCTCTCCTAAAGTAGGTAAAGGAGATGGATTGCTACACAGTATACCGAAAGGCAATAAGCCATTTGAGGTGATACATATTGATCATTATGGCCCAGTAGACAATAGCAGATCAAAGAAGCATATATTAGTGGAGATAGATAGATTCACGAAATTTGTTAGGCTTTATACGACGAAAACAACAAACACCAAAGAAGTTTTGAGTGCATTAGCAGACTATTTTCGGGCATATAGCAGACCAAGGTGTATTATATCAGATCGAGGAAGTTGCTTCAC